GAAAAATGTGTTTAATTTAGTCAAATGTGCTTCGTCGAGTGGGGCATGAAAAATACAATTTCCCTGTAGTGTCATCTCCGATGCAAGTCGTTCTCTACTTTTAATTACTGTGATACCTCACTGGATGCACATTATAACCATGGGCCTGGGTTTGACTCTTTAAACACTCCATTGTTGCATATTCAAGAATTCTTTAAATTCTGCAATGGCTATTTCTTTTCTGATGTATAAAAAAAAAAAAAACATTTTCAGTGATAGTTATAAGACTCTCTTTTCACTTAGTGACAAATGTGGCCATCATCAGTTTGCTCCAGTAAACTTTGTTCTGGTACTCATTTCAAGGGTTGCATGATTTTTGGTCCAACAAAAATTGCCAAGAAATGGCAAATTTGTGAATAAACAACATTTTTTACTTTAAGAAGGAATAGGCCACCGTTTTTACATACTGACATATGTTCTTACCTTACCTTAGACTAGTTGATATGTACCTGTCTGGCACTTCCGTCAATAGAATCAGCGTGAGTGGGAGAGAAGTCTTTAGGAGTTAGTGCGCGGACGTAGCGCTCCTCGTATTATTACGCCTCACAATATAGCCCCCCTTTTTATCCCCTGAGAAAATTGACATGTTACATTTCTGTGTTACTATACTAGGTAGTGTAACACGTCACGTAACTGTATTTAAATAGGGAACACGTGGAAGAGTTTGGTAGCTTCTAACAGGAGCTGATTTGTTACTATACAGTCTGTGGAAGAGGCTGCGTTTGTGCTCCGTTTGCATGACAGAGCGCACGGACAAAGACCAGACAGGTACATATCAACTAGTCTAAGGTAAGAACATATGTCAGTATGTAAAAACGGTGGCCTATTCCTTTAATAAGTAAAAACAACGTTAAGAGTAATGTTTGAATTCCCACACATCAAAACATTCTACCCTCGAGCACAACCCTTTTTTTTTTGTAGAAATGGAGTCTAATTCACTGCAAAATAAATTCATTGTTTTTTTTTAAATCTTTATTTAATCAACATTCTTATAGTCAGACCTGATATGTGCGACACGTTTTCAGTTTGTATAAATTATGAAAAACCTGCATTTGGTCTGAGTCAACGTGGCAAGAGCTGCTCATTACTTTGACAAATCTTCAACATACTCAAATCACAAGACATTTTCCCAAATTCAATATTTCTTTTGCTCAAACTTTTTGTTGGTAAAGAACTTTAATTATTGCAGTCTTTGCGATCTTGCTAATTGCAACCTCAAAAATGGCAAATTCAATTGTGTTGCCCTTCTTATTCATTCTGGGTTTAGTTTAATTAGGTAATCCTGTTTTCTCTTCATAACTCATTTCTGGCTGAAAGTTTATTGTCCAGGCTGGTTTTGTAGTCTGGGTCAAGTTATGATTAATTTATTTTTTTAACCTTGGTCTGCACCTTTTTGATAATATTGCATCACCATATATTTAACCTTGGCCTGTTTATTCAACTCGAGCCAGTCAGCAAACCAGTCATGTTTTATTGAGAGTACATATAGCAAGTAAAGATCAGAGGGCTCTAAACCTCGCCTGCCGATACTGCACTGCACGATGCCAGGGGAGGCCGATCAAACGCCTTTGAAGAGCTCTGAAAATCCACTGGAAAATCGTTAGACCTGAGTTCAGTGGTCTGAGAGCGGCTCGTCCAGCTCAGGAGGCGAGAGGCGTGATTTTAATGGAACATGATATTGGACCACAAGATGTTTGAAATTGCTCTGTTCTGAAGTCCCTCGAGTCAAAATGTGGTCACCTGTCTGTTGTTGCAGGCATAGTTCAGGTTTAGTCTATTATATCCAGGTTTAGTCCATTTTATAGTCCATTACTGTTTATCTTTGACACATGGTTAAGTTTTGTAGAACTCTAGTGCACTAAAGGACAAAAAAAAAAAACTGTCCCCACTCATTGTTCCCTTCTTTGAAGAGCTCTGACATGGCAAATAATGTTACAAAGTTAATTGTGTAGCCCCGCTGCCTTCTTCATTATTATTATTTCTTATTATAGGTTTTTTGTGTGTTTTTCTTTATTTTTTTATTTTATTTTATTTTTTATTTTATTTATTTATTTTTGTATTTTTTACAATTAACTTTATATTTATTTTTGCTTATTTTTTCCTCATGGCATCTAATTTTATTTTTTATAACTGGTCATACTGACTGTAAAACGCGTATTGATTAATGTATAACTGCAAAAGTAAACCAATACAAAAATATATTTAAAAAAATTAAAAATACATTTTTGGAAGAGGTCTGGTCCATTTATGTTTAACTCATTCTTGGGTGTCCTGAGTCAGACACTCGATGATAAAGGCTCACATTTGTAAATAATCCAAAAGGGGAATAAAGGAGACTAAAACTTAGCCTGGTGAGACCAGAATGATTCCCCTCTGTATTTTTTTATCCAGCGGGGGATCACCGGCTGGTACAACGGTGAGTCTGGATTTTTCCAGGCTAACTAAAACTATCATTCTGTTGAAAGAGAAAATAGTTCAATTTGCAGCATGTTGATTGTGATGTTTAGGACAGTTTTAAATTGTGCTTTTGATTTTATTGTGAAATTTTGTGGAATGTTTTCTTACAGGCTGCAGTGAGCTTGAAACCGCTGAATATCTAACCCCAACACACTGCTAAATTTCTCTAATTTCTTTTTTAAGTGTGTTTCAGAAAGGTCACGTTTGGCTTCTTAGTTAAGTCATGAGAGATCAGAAATGATGCATCTTTAGATAATTGAAACTATTTCTGCCCTCAGCCCTCTGCTTAGTCACTAACTAAGCAGTGAGGATTTTATATTCCGAATTTCACTAGAGCATGACTAACAATTTAAAATCGATGGCATCAACAGTGTTCTGTATACGCACACTCAACAAAGTCTCGTAATGAAACCAAGAGAGTCGACATATGAGTTCCTAAATGAATGTGTGTGGCATGTGCCTTTAACCCATCACAGTGAACTCCTCCACCTTTTTGACAGGAAATTTTTATTTGCGATTTTGAATAAGTTTTAGAAATCCACTATCACATTACAAACCTAGCTTTTTTGACCCACCGAAGCAAGTCCAATATTGCCACAAATCATGGTATTATAAAACATTACTTTTTTTGGGCTTAAACGGTCGATCATTGTACATTTAAATGAATTCAAATCGGGAAAATACACACATCTTACTCTAATGTGATGGTGCCCAAGTGAAACTGTATTTTTAATTTAGTGTTCTTGTGGTTCTCTTCAACCAACTTTTGGGATAATCAGCATCAATAGTTGTCAAATAGGTTAGTAACTTATTTATCTACGTCTTATTTGCATTTGCAAGTTTTGTCGTTTCCTGCTTGTACCTTTTTTTTTTAATCTGTCAAAACCATTTTTAAGGAGCGCAGCGCTGCCGTCCCACATGCCTTCCCACTCCCACTACAAATAGACCGAGGAGGTGCTAGATTCCACTGGCCCGGCGCGTCCCAGAGCTCAGCGAGAGGGGCAGTGTGTTGGTGGGCATGTCACAGGGTCCTTCTGAAATAACAGCCCTAAAAATACACCGGTCCACCTGAGTGCACTGATTCACTTCCATCCAGTGGGTTTGATGTTGAACTCGTACCTGCAGTGCTTCCTTAATATATCCAAGCTCTTTTTAAGAGTTTAAGAGTTTGGTCCGCCTCACATCCTGATTTCAATCGCCTCCTCATGACCATCTTTTGTATGAATGTCGGCAAAATGTCTTCAACCTTGGTCGACATCAAGAGGAAAAACCAGTGCAATGAATAATGAATTTTACTTTACTGGTTCTGATAGACCATTTTGCAAACGTTTGATGCTTTCATATATATATTTTTTTATTGGTTAGTTTATATTTAATACCTATGTCAATTTTGGTATATGTGACGGCAAACAGCTTTTTTTGGCACTGGTATATTAAAGACGGCGTTAGCAGCAACAACGCTTCGTCTTTTACTTATGAACAGATTATTTATCAATGCATTTACTGCATTTTAAAAAACGCACATAATTGTTTCACATTTTGTTCTAAATATCTGCGCTGTGTATAGGCCTGAGCAATCGAAAGCATACATTTTGTTTTTTTTCCCTTTGAACTCAATTTAAGCCAATCACAATGAAAGAGGTAGACGCATGCTGCCAGTCCCTGGGTTTTTATTCCTTATTTGAGCCAGACAATTTCAATGCACGTACCAATAATGGCAATATTCCAAACTTGAAATTGCGATCCAATCTCTTGATTAGCGCTGAATTTCTACTGAACATCAGCGCATGTGATGGACGTGTGTCAGAGACCAAAGAGACTGGCTCCATAGATACAGTAGATGGGCTCCATAGATACAGTATGTGTGCTTCTGTTGTTAAAAGGCTGAAAGTTCATAGTTGGTAAGTAATCTTCATTTGTGCTTTTCGCGGACCAGAGTCACAAAGCGCTTTACAATTGTGGTGGGCATTTGTCTCTCACTCCACGCAGAGATGGGAGCGAGGTTGCCATACAGGAGGCAGATGCCAGACCTTTTGTAATAGGTTTTTTTTGTGGTAATGTTTTTAGCGGCAGGGGAAACGTACACACACAGGAAGAACATACAAACTCCATTCAGAAGATTGTGCCAAAGACCCTGTGCTGTCTGCTTCAGTTGTCCAAAACTTTGATAGATGTGTAGATTTGTAATGTTTTGAACAATTAGAACAGTCTTATGCACAAGCCCACACATTAAAATATTGGTAATTGATTCTTTAGAGTTGCAGGATTAAAAATTATAAACTCCTTTAACATGTATAATTAATTTGACCCAATGAGTCCGAATTATCCAATCATAATGAATTGTGATGACTTTAGCTACGGACTGAATTATGAGTTTGAAGTCTATTTTACTACAGAAACCCTATTTTTATGGCTCATTCTCTTCCGTTTAAGGTCCATAGATACTGGGACAATAAAAGTTTCTAAGATAAGAAGCATAAAGTTGAACCTGACTTATGAGTGGTTTACTTTGTAGATGCTTTAAGAGAAGAGGTCAGCGGGTGTGAACAGCGGTACATAAAGCGATTCAGACAGAGCTCGCTGCGGGGGTCCTGCCCAGCATCTACCTGCTCCTCTCCCTCCACCACCATGCACCCCCCACAGAGCACTCCACCTCCCGCCTCCCAACACTGGCACAGGCAACGTGTCCAAGACCAAATGGCACTGATCTAACCATGCGGGACAGCAGCGGAGGCGTAAGCAGCCCCTCCCACCCCCTGCAGAGAAGCTCCGCGACTCAGCACTCGGGCTGGGTAGGCAAAGTAGGGCAGGCTGACCTCTGCAAACACTGTGTCAGGGATTCCGAGTGAGCTGAAGGGACAGGGCATGTCAGAGCGATGGTCCTCACAGTGCAGCGAGGAGTGCACACACACGCACACACACGTATCTCAGGTCCCCAGGGAGAGGAGGCACCCTGCTAGGACAGATATGTACACACAGGAGCGGTTATGACACAGGGCCACATACCATCTCCATGCAGGAACATTGTAGGTCCACTCAAATCAATACCCACTTGTCCTTAAAGGCGCATTCCTCAAGTGTCTCCGTGAAGCACCACTTTTTGTGAATTGGTCCAATACCTATGTCTTTCCATAAATATGTTATTGCTATATACCTAAAATGCTTCGTTTGTAATCTGTACAATCCTCAATTATGTATGATTTTACTGCCTTAAAAAAAATCTGTGAGAAGACTCACCTTTCCACAGATATTGTAACTGAGCCGCTAGTTTCCAATGTATAAAAAACTGTAAAAATATTAAACAAAACGTGACATTGTGCTTGAATATACATTATATATTTGAAAATTTGATCTTGTGATATAAATATTGATCCAAAATGATTATATAAATACACAACTTACTTCCATACTGATAATTTCAGCATTGATATGTCTGGCTAAAAAGTATCCATTAAACTTTGAGGCTCATGTCTCATTAGCTAAAGATAAATGCATTTTATGTGCATCTTTGGGCATCCCGTTAATGCGAGCTGGAGCAGCACCTTGACACGGGTCTGTGCTATCCTGCTCTTAATCACACCACAGACGAGCATAAAAGGGCAATGCTTCCAGTAAATTTCATTGCATTAGCACATTTCTAAATGCTAAGCTTGTCTGTCCAGCTGCTGACATACTGTTTGTATATTCAGCATTAATTGGCCCTAATTTTTCATGGGTCTATCTCGTCTCATGCTGCCTGCTTCTCCACTCAGCAAAGCTCTGACGATTCATCAACTGTAAAACACTGTCACATTCATCAGCTTTGCTTTCTTTTCCCGATAACTTTTGTCTTCTACCACAAATGGTCCTGCTATGTTTTATTTTTTACACTCCAATTTTGTGTCAGTCGTTTTGCGCAGAATAGTATGGCCTGTCAGAGAAACACTGGCAGCGTGGAGTTCATTAAAAAGTAAACTTCTAATGTAGCAGCAAGCCCTAACTGTATCAATGATTTAGTCCGCGCTGGTTCTTAATGGACGGAGCCACTTCTATGTGCAACTCCGCCTGCCATCGACTTCCACAGAACACTTGGATGCACAAAGAGGCCGAAGTACACGGGTCGTTTCAACAGTACCTCAAATGTTTTGCTGTCAGACATGTTTTTTAAAGCGACATAAGCGCAAGGCAAAACGAAGATCTTTGTCATCACCCACTCTGCAGTTCAAAGCTCTTTTTGCTTATTCATTTGCACTCGTGTGACTCTTTGACCTGGCGCAGGCTCATAAAGGCTGTGTAAAAGCTGACGATGGCGCGTTGAGGCACAGGTTTCTTTATTGTTATTGGTAGAGTAAGGAGGATGGAAATGTATAGAATGGGTTGTTGGTATGGTCTTAAGGAGGTCACCAAGCTCATATCTACGTAGATAACCATATGCACACACTTTGGCATGGTGAATTTTGTGTTTTGAAGGATTATCCCATATTAAGTTTTCTTTGTTCCAATTTTGGACTTTTAATAAGCAGTGTTTGAAATACTTTTGTCACGTAGCCATCATAATTTGACACCCACATTGAGCTCAAATTCCTCATAGCACCGTGGGGGTGGACGATATGCAAAAACATTTTCTTAAAATGCAGCCACTATTTTGATTTTATGTGTTCTGCAACTTACTTTGTTTCAGTATTTTTTTCTTTTGCACAATCTTCTTCTGACAATACTTGAGAGTTCACACCTCTGCTACTTTGTCATGCTCTCTCTCTGTTTAAAACTGCTAATTGCTCTGGAAACGGTCCAAGATTTTCATCATTTTCAAACAATAGATCTTATCTGTTAAATCATGGGGAATTAGTGAAACTGTAACCGGAAGTTAGGACCCGTTATTTGAAGTAGGGTTTGGAAAAGACACATCAGGATTCTCGTCACCCCTATATCACCAACACTATTACGTTTACATTACATATTAATTAGTGGCACACACAATATGTAAATGACAACCAAGCAGGGGCCCAATTAATATCCCCAATATCGATATCCATCAATAACCATGCAAGTTATCAAAGGATACAAGATGACTCTCAAACGCTGGATCGTCCTCGCGATGCTGCAGCGACTTTACCTTTGACAATGCTTTCCATAACAATAGATTCAGCTTTTGTTTATTGCGGGTTCCTATACCTTTCTTCACTCACACAAACAGAATCATTTCACTATAGCTTCCTTTCCACTTTTCTATTGGCAAACCACGATTGTAATGGCATTTCCTAGTGATTTAAGGAGTGGGATTGACAGCATTACAATGAGTCTGTCTTTATAGTCACTCCTGTGGGATAATTGCTTATAGTGTTGAACAAGCCGCTCCCCTCTTTAGCATTTGGGTCTCTCTCCCTTCCTCCCAACAGTTTCTCTCTACTTCCCTCTTTCTGACTCCAATGTGCTCATCAGAGAATCCTGCTGCCTTTTTAGTGTGGCCATCTGTCAACACCACTCCATAAAGTGGAGAGGAGCACCGCATAGATAGCTCTTGCCTGGCCAAGCTCCAGCTCACTACGCCTGGTTAACCCTAGTTTTGAGCATCACTATATCCAAAGCCTGAGTGGAACTTGCGTCCACTATTTTTGTACCCAAATCTGCATCATTCCACCCTCTTCACATCACTGGAGTAGCTCGTAACAAGATAACTTTCCCGATCGTCTGCATAATTTATCTGTAGCCCCCACTGAAACGCGCTGTAGCATTAATTAATATTACTGCCTGCTATCTCAAACTATCCCACTGCGGGATCCCTCTTGGCTCCTATTTTTGGTACGCTGCTGAATCTGATCTGTTTTGTTCAACTCGAATGCAGTCGCTGATAGACATTGATGAAATATCTTGCTACACATCGGCTTGGATTGAGTTTCCATATGTGTTTCATACATGGTAGAATCCATACCTGGAAGACATTGAACCTGCCCAATAGTGTTCACCAAATTCTCCACATATTGATTTGTTGGTGTAATGCAAGTCTGACGCATGTCCGATCGCTCGCCTCATGAACCGTGTCTGTTTTGTCTTTGCAGAACTCGATACGGCACAATCTGTCACTGAACAAGTGTTTTCTCAAAGTGCCTCGCTCCAAAGACGACCCTGGGAAGGTGAGACTCCTACTTTTTATTCTGAGTATTATTTACACTCGTGTTTCTGCAGAGCATGGATTTGAAGCAGAATGTGTCATATTTCCGAAATGTGTTTTCTGTCAGGACAACTACATATGTACATGTAAAGAAGACATTATTCATTTAGGAAGTACGGTACATGCAAAATATTTAAGGGTAAGCAAGACTGAGACACATTTGTTTCATGTCAATAACAAATTCTTTCATTTTTCATCTGATCTGATGTTTTTTAGAAGATGCTATTGCAATAACTAAGAAAATAAATCTGTATCAAACAATAAAATGTCACAAGTAAAACCCCTTTAGTTTTGCTGCTGTCTATTTAAGTCTTTGTAATCCTTTTTTAAATATGGTTTATGAATAACAAATATTGAACTAGGACACCATCATTGATGAATATACATGTCTTAACAGCCCTACCTTAAAGCTGATGTATTTTTTATCAATATTTGATCAATGCTCTTGAAGCATTTTTTAAAGCATTAATCCATTTTAAAATCAAATTGAGTATCTAAATTGTCCTTGTCTTCAAATGTAGGATTATATAATGTATCTCACATTAACTCTTCATCTGCCCACACTCACAAATGCGGTCTCAGAAGGACGCAGGATTCAACCCTCGACCTCTGATCATGGGTGAAGGTTCTGCCACTGAGGCCCTATTTCCCGTCGCTTGCCGCCATCTTTCAGAGCTTAAATGTATTTATTGGCTTCCTTTAGACACTGACAGGGGCTAATTAGATTATGGCACGCGTCCAATGTCTCCTCAATATAAGGGAAACATTGGGTTTTCATTATAAAAGCATAATTGACTGTACTGCTTGTAGCAGTTCCTTGGCTGTAATCATGCAGTGTTTTGCCTCACACTCAATCTTAGATAAATGTTACCTTTGAATGTGTGCCAGCTTTTCCAGTCTGGAAACGCATGGCATGCTCGTAATCTATTCTAAACCTCCCACTGAATTGTTTTGTCAGTGGAGCCTTTGTACCACTGAAGTGAGAAACGTCTCCAAAATAAGTGCCATCGACTTGTTTCGACTCAAACTGCTCAAGTCATTTGCTGAGTTTTCACCTTGAGCTGCAAAGAACACTGGGACTAGGAGTAAAAATGCGCTGTCTTTATGCTGCGCTCAGCTTTCAGTCACTTGCGTTATTCCTCTACTGCTCCAACATGTTAATTTGACATTTGAATCTCAGTTGGAGAACCCACAGTTGCTTTCTTTCAGCATCATTTAGCCCACAATCTCCCGCGACATCAACCTGATAAGCAGCGCATCCCCTGATCCGCCTCGTAGAAGCGACGGCTGGGCCCTATATTTAGACAAATCCTGCGTTTCGTGTGTGTGCGTATACTGTAGGTCTAACCATATGCAGCCTAACCCAGTTCTCCTCCTGTCAGAGCACACGCTACATATGCTAAAGCAAGCGTACAAATAATTGCACACACACACACACACACACACACAGAGCAGAGGTAGCGACGCGGATGGGGACTGAATGCTAATTTCATGTTTTGCTGTAATCCTCTGATATTGACACTCCTGGGAGCTGCTCCACTAAATACAAAATAATCTATTGCAGTATGGATCCCATTCCAAATGCATGGCCAACACACTCGCATCCCTAATGTTTAATTTGGAATTTTCCTCACTCCCTCCTCCCCCCCCCAAGACAACTTCAAAGAGGCGCTCGCTGCTCTTGATATGTTGCATCAATATTGTAATGTGTGAGGAATATGAGCGCTGCTGCTTGGTGGAGATAGGAGAGGCTGCCTGTCTCCTGTTCAGATCTGGGAGAGATGACAGCAGCAGCCAGTAAAGCACCTCCGGAAGCAAGATTACATTTATTAATCTACGTTTAATTGGTGAGACTGGGTGGTTCGCATTTTTGAGCTGGATGTCTACCTTCAGAGTAGGGATGTAAATCGGTGACCGTTTAACCTGTGGTTGACCGTCACAGCGTTAACCGGTCAAAGCTGTCGGTTAAAAATAAGAAAAAGCGGAGAGGGGAGGTCTCTTAATAAGGCTATTAACAAGCCGTATTTGTACGATGTGACGAGCGGGTCCGTATCTAGCTGTGTGCGCCAATGCATTAGTAGACTACGGGCGACTTTCATGGCGCACGCTCCACATATGCACGCAGCCGCGCACACGCACGCGCGCGCACACACACACAAACACACACACATAAACACTTTCCCCCCCTCCATACGTAACATCCACACGCATCATCTCTCCCCTCTGTTACCGCCAAAGTTCCACACTAGTGCAGGTCAGAACTACATTGGAGCTTATATTTACACACACACACATACATGTATTGTACACACACACATACCGGTCTGTCGCGCACCTCTGTGTCTCGCAGCCCAAAGAATCCTCGCAAATACGCGGCCCCAGCCAAACACATGAAACATGTTTGTGCTGCTGGTCCTTGTCATTAGATCAGATCCACACACATCACTTTTAAACTTTAGCGGAGACCTGCGAGACGCGGCGTGTAACTCGCTGCTCTGACCATGTGAACGAGCAGTCTTTTGCTTAAAAATGCTTTAACCCGCAGCACAGAATGGGAAGATTAAAAAAGCAGTTCTCTGTGCGCAAAGGTGCCGAAGCTGTTGCGGGTTTTGGCGCCGCTGTCTCAGCTCTGATCTAGTAGAACGCATAGATAAACTTATGAAAAGTACGCGGCTCGAAATGGCTGCTATTTCAAAGAACGTGGAATATTTTAAACTACGCGGTTAACCGGTTTCAACCGGTTAATGAGGCTCGGTGGTCGGTCATGAAAATGCATAGTTTTTTACATCCCTACTTCAGAGTGAGGCCAGGAGGCGGTCAGCGAGTTAAGATATGTTGCCGTTTTTCGAGCAAACCGTTCAGAATAGATTGTGTTTGTGTTTTTTGGTTATATTCTACTCATTTCTCCAATATTTTTTACACACTGATATAAACATGGACATAATCATGGAAACTGGCCATAGTTAATTGTGGCTTAATAAACTAGAGAGAAAAACTATCAAATTAAAGTATTTAGGAAATGTTTCTGTCTAGTTTTTCTTTGATATTAGGTTTAAATTTACTGATTAAATGAAATGTTCTGGTCTGTGCTGCTATCCTCTTCTCAAAATCTAGAATTGATGGAAGATTTTTTTCACTGGCAATAGCATAACACAACTTTTACTAGTAATGTGATCATTATAATCCCAGCAGCTCTATTAGGATGTCCTTTTTGTTTGTACTCGTGAGGCTGTGAGAAAAGTGCTTCATGCTCATGTTGTCCTTGAAAAATGCTAGAATAGGGAAGTCTTTCATTTGGCTCAGAATAATGCGGGTCTGCTGTAAATTTCAAATTCTGAAATGATACCACCTTAAGCACAAAATGTAAAAATGTTTAAAGGTCAATGCAAGCTGGTGCATTTTTGGAGTTAGTATCTTTGATGATGGAGACTGTTTTGGAGACAAGATTTGCGATGACTCTGTATTGTATTAATACACATATGAAATGGCTAATAAACAAGTGTGCTATTATATACTATCTTATGAGCAATCCTGGGATCTCTGCCTCATCATTCTACATGTCTGAAAATCAAGCATTCAATATAAATGAATAGATTGCCCAAAGTTAGCTTCAAGTTTATCATAAATCATCCCAATAACTGATCTGTTGTCTCATTAAACTGTAGCTCTGTCATGTGAACATATAGAAGACTCATTGCTGGATTGAACAGTTGAAATGACATCTCAATACAGTTTTCCCTGTCTAATAATGGTATACTGTATCTGTGTTTACTTTCCAAAAGGGGAAGTATGTCATTATGTTGACCTATGAAACGACCAGTTACCTCAAGTCTCATAAAATCATTGCATTCGCCTTTGCGTTTTACGAGTCTGGAGCTTTTGTCTTGCCTTTGCCCTGATACTGTGGGCACACTCCGGCTGGCATCCTCCCCGTTCACCGCAGTATACATTTGTAAATAATTCAAAGAGTTTTCATGTGTTTTTCCCTGGCTCGGTCTCAGGGGGTGGGTGTAGGGAATCTCACAAACTGCTCTCCCAAGAGGCTAAACTTTTAGTCTTCTTCCTTCCTAATTAAAAGAAATGCTGCTCTGAAAATAGTGGCTTCTCCTACCCTTAGTTTGTAACACCCGCTTTGCATTTAACCCCTAAAATCTATACATTCTCCCTCTTGCACATAATCGCATTGTCCTTTTGTACTCCATATAATGAGCCCTATCTTTTAGCATTCTTTTACTACAAGTCGTTGCTTCATCTTTGCTTAATTGTGCCGCGATTATTCCGCCCTCTACGGAACATGTTAATTGACCCCAAAGCCAGCCTCATATTAAAAGTTATAATTTTAACCCCAAGACAAATATAGGCCACTGTTGCCGTTTTATTCCACTAGTAAAAAATATACAACATTTAAAAGAAGAGCCAGCTATAACAAGGGAACTGTATTTGGCACAAGGCTTCATTTATAGCCTTCGACTTTGCTTTGGCTGCTCAGTTTCTTATGGAATTATCAATTATTCTTTCTGCTAAGGAAGTAATTTTAAAGGTCCTGATCTCACTTTCTCCTGACAATTGAGATTTTATCTGGGGTCGTATGAAATATTAAAAAGTGAATTCAGAACTTGCAGGCCTTAGGGTGAGAATCTAATTTTTAACAGCGGGCAACACGGAGGAAGCAGGAGACGGACCATTGAAAAATAAATTAAATGCAAAGATAAATAATGCAGCCTGGGTCGGTGTTGGAATTGCCTGTTGCGGCCCCTAAGCAAGGCCCACAACTGCTTTTTGTCGAGATTACCCCCCCATTATAGACCCTTAAACTTGCTTTTTCCTGTCATTTAAAAAAAAACCTGTTTTTAAAAAATTGGTCAGAGTGGAGCGGAGCACCCGAGGCAGAGGAAATACAGCTCCAGGAAAAGCTTAGTGTTTTACCTACAGCTGCACATCTCAGCGGACGATCATCGGAGAAGTGCACGGACAAAACCTCATAAAATTTAAAAACCTGTAGTAGATATCAAACCTAGCAAGAGTTGGAATAAGTAATGTAGTCTTTGTTTTCTTTGGGAGTAGTGTAAAGAATAGAAAGTGTAACACAGTGGAATCGGACTTGAATATCTATTTTTCAACTGTTGGCATACAGTATTTTTGCTCTGTTGTGATCTATTGCACTGTCGGCACTTATTCTCAGCAAAGTAACAGTTGTAAAACATTGCAGTTGTAAATACGGAAGTCTGTAACCTCAGTTTTCCTGTTTTGTCATTATAATGGGTTTCAGATTAAAATAGTTGAAAATATCCCAAAATTTCAGAGATTATAACAAAAAACCCATTTTATTTAACATTAATCAACCACTAAAATAGCATCACGTTCAGAAGTTCTGAGGATTAAAAAAATAGGGCTCAAACAGGACTAAATTTGGAAACGATACCATGTGCCGGGATTAGTTGTGGCAAAATGAAAATGTATTTAAATATACCGGGCAAATTTACGTTCCATGTTTCAGGAGGTGTATTGTATAGATGTCAAGGAAAACTGCCTTTTGATTTTTTGTTTAGTCATTATGCTGTCCTTTTCACACTTTACGCGTTTTATTCTTGCAGGGATCTTATTGGGCCATCGACACAAACCCAAAAGAAGACTCTCTGCCCACGCGTCCCAAGAAGAGGCCGCGCTCTGGAGAACGAGTGAGTATAAAAGGATTGGAGGTGTAACGGTTTCTCCCGATATTGGTTTTGCTCAGACATGGCAAAGTTGAGCAATATTTGGTCCGTATATTTATACGTTTCTAAGTTGCCACGGTCTTGGTTTACCCATATGTCAATCTCAGTATTTTTGAAATGCAATAGACTCAGAGATAACAGAGCCATTAGCAGCTGTATAGTACGTAGCAATCACAGCTCAATACAAACAATATAAAAAACACAATCCAACGCATGAGGTTTTGATTTTTGCTTTGAGGATCTTACCTATGGTGCTTGTTCTGGCTGATTAGTGAAACCAGCGTTCCCAGAGAGAAAGGATCGACCCAGGCTTCACACTGGCAACCTTCTCGCTGTGAGGCATGAGTGCTATACCCCCTCAGCCACTGTGTCGCCATTACTGCTCCATGTTTCTTTTCTCAACGTTTTCCTCTACCCGTTATCCTTTAAGTCCCAGTATAACGTCACATCAGCCCCTCTGTAAGGACTTGTCCACGCTGCTTCGTATCCCATGCTCCTTTATTTATAAACGATGCCTCGGGCTTCAGTTACATACGTTACACACAGCAGACTATTTTATTCATTTATTTCTTTTTTTACTAAACTTAATTAATGCGTAGCTGTGTGTGCCACAGCGGCTGTTCCGAGCATTCAGGCTTTAATAATGGATGAGTTTAGTCCAGAGAAGTGCAAGTCTGTGAGGGTGTGGGATTGACCTGGCCCAGGGGCATCTCTATACGGCGGTCTCTTGTCTGTTTCTTTAGCTCGCTGCAGCTGACCACAGGCTCAAACGTACAGCAGAGAGACTGAAGAGCTAGCAACAGTCGGGCTAAAACGGCCTATTGTCTTTTACCACACACCGAGACGCTGCGGATCTTGACATGCTTTCCACACACCTGCCCCGGAGCGTCAAAACACTACCAGACATGTACGTCTCGGCAAGAACCAGATACAAATGTAAAAAATCTGTGTGACTTTGGACTTGGAATCTGCAGGAAAAGGACAATGATGATTTTAGAGCAAAACAAATGATTAATACAAGCTTTGATTGACAAATTGTACATACAAATGTTCTTGAAAAAACTGCTTTTCGCTTACACATTATTAAAGAAGTGTAGTAATTTAAACTATTGTTGTAGTGTTGAAATGATGCATCAAGTACTGGGTGTTTTTACTGTAGAAATTGAGTATGCACCACATGTGTTCACTTATGTTTAAATCCCCTCCACTATGCTGTGCAGTAGGAATTAAGCTGAACTGCATGACAAATATAAACATTATAAAAAAATATATATATTGAAAATGTTGCATCATGACAGCCATAGTTCAGTTTGGCTACATAAAATTCAAAATGAGCAATTGTTTTCCAACATAATAAAATAATCTCTGCATTTTTATTCTCCTTTGTTGCAATGCCAGTTCGCAAGCAAACCTCTTAAGCAAACAGAGCATGGTTTTTGTGCACAGTTGTATGCTCTTCCAAATATATCTAACCGGGACCTCAAGTCACCCATTCCCCCGTATGCAAATACATTTTACTATAGCACGTTTCGTTGTATCACGCCGCTGTAGTCATAACATGAAAGAATGTGCAGCGTGAGCCGTCTGTCTATTGTCGGAAGCCCCCTCCCCCTCTCTGCATCTGCCTACAGGCTTCCCATTAGGAGACAGGGAAATTGAGAGTTTATGAAATCTCATTTATGTTTATCATGAATTAAAAATGGTTTTGTTTGGCAGCCAATCCTCTTACAGTGAGTAGTTTGGGGTAGACGTACTTATCTCCAGTAACAGTGAGTGAATGTGTTTGGAGACTCGGTGTTTGAAGGTGAAGCTGGGGGTCTGTCTCCTTTCTTTACCCCTGGTGCGACCTACTTTAGAGGTGTGGCTCTAGCACAATAAACTGCATTTATTCCATTCCTTTGTGCTGTATGTTACTGTACAGAAGTGCAAAGTACATGTAGAGTATAGAGTTCTGTAGTGATGAACAAAAAAGCCTTCCAGGACTGGTTTGTTTAGAATGGCTGTGTAGTGTCTAGTTTAAATACTAACATTATATTCATTTTAACTGGGAATTGTTGATTATTGTTGAGTCTTTGTAGATAATAATCAAACTTATAATCCTCAAATATCAAGCCTTGTCTCTTTTTATCCACGTATGGCAAATATTCATCTATTTCTGGGGAATTTTTCAGATGTGTGCCAATGTGGTTTTACTGCAAATGACAAATAAATGAATCGCAATCTGAATTTTGTGAATTGCATAAAAAAAATCTATTAATTATTATCATTTATTTTAATTGGACCAGTTTATTTAAGGGTTTTAGAGGAAGAAAAAAGATGGATGGATGGATGGCAGTTTATTTAATAGACCGTTTTACTCACAGAATGCTTACCTGGAAACCACTTGAGACTGCAGCAGAGTCTGGAGAAAACCATACTCCTTCTCTTTCAGCAACTCAACACTGAATTTTTGTTCCAATACATTACTAATTCTCCATGTTGATCTGAAATGTCCAATATATTGTGATGATCCAATGTGTGTAGAATGTTATCCGTCAAGACACCACAGGCCTTGTTTAATCTTATTCCGTCCAGCTTACGTTGAATACTCTATGATTAGATGCATGTCCTGCAAACCCACACACACCTATTGTATTTTGAATTTGTGCCCAGTGCTAATTTGGTCCTCCTCCACAGGCCTCCACTCCGTACAGCCTGGAGTCCGACTCTCTGGGGATGGAGTGTATGATCTCTGGAAGTGCCTCTCCAACGCTGGCAATCAACACTGTGACTAACAAGGTACTGAGCGCACACCTGGCTGTTCCCTGCTCTCTGACCCCCTCCCCCAGCACTGCCTCCTCCCCGCAGAGAGAGGGCACTGCTGCTGCGGGGAGGCACAATCGCACTCGCCTAAAGCTTCTCCCACGTATCGCTGAGAGAGAAGTGGAATACATGTTTGCTGAACTGCTGCTAGAAAGTCATTTGATCATGTTTTTTCACAGATTTTGACAGTTTTCTAGTCTTTTTTTCTATTATTTACACACTCAGTCATTTTGCAGTTGTTCATACACTCGGACCACCACGAGACAGACGCACTGTGTATACCACTGTTTGCCAAGTTTCTTTCTGAATCTGAAGCCTTAGTGAATTGGCTGCATTTGGGAGGTGCAAAATTTCTTTTGATATAAAAAAGTGTAGGTTTGGGCTTTAGTCAGGTGAAAAATCTATTGTCCTACTGATAAGTCTAAGATAAGATAAGATTTGCTTTATTTATCTCACATAGGAGAAATTTACAACACCAAAGAAAGTCTCTCTGACCTTCAGAAGTAAATTTTCTTGACCAGCTCTATGGATATTCAGACTTTATCAAAGTAAAACCCTCTCAAAACTGCATCTTTTGATGGATATTACGTTTTGATTGGTTTTGAACTTGTAATGAAACTGTTGTTATAATGTATAAAGTCTGGTTTACAAATGTATCTTTAGGATTGTTTTCATACATCCATTGTCTTACGCCTTTGTCTCATGAACACTGGACGACTGGAGTGTTTTGCCCAAACTGTTTCACTTTCCATTCAGACAAAAATTACATTGTTCTGTTTGTGCTTTTATTTGCGCAACATTGTTCACGCATGTAGGATGTGTGACACTGTCGAGACGTTATATTGTATAGAGCCTACATTATGAAATGAATCCAGTCTGTGATGTACAAAGTAGAATAACTTTATAAACAAGATTTGACTTCAGAAGTCACATATTTGTGTGTACAAATATGCGGCTATTTAGCAGTGTTAGGGGTGCACATGACTTGTTCAGTGAGGTACTAAGATGAGTACCAGGAGATGGTGTTTGGTACTCACCCCAATTGCTGCGTAGTTTTTAATCGAGATTTTATACTTTCTTCTTATCGATTAAGTTTACATTGGTTCAGATAATCCACTCTCGAACCTCTCAAGACAAGATTGCCTGTTGTGTTTTGTTCTGTTTGATTTGTTCAAAACATTTTACTTTTGGGCACAACCAAAATGCTTTATTAAAGACCTTATGACGGGTTTGATTTATTTAGAAATACAGTTTTAATACCATTTTATATTAGAAGAGAACTACTAAAGGTTTCAAAATCAGTTGTTGTTTTTTTTTTCTGATCCCCCCAAATCGAAATAACCCCATAGCAACGCCCTTAGAGACGAAAAAACTTCACAGCCCTTGGTGACGTCAGAACGGGTACGTTTCAACGCTGTAAGTTGTTTACAATTTGGTATTCGTTCTTTTTTCGCGGATATTCAAGATGACAAGGCGGTGTACAGAAAGTCTAACATAACTACTAGATGGTAACATTTCGTTGTCACTGAGATAGCCCAGTGGTTGTGTCGACGGACTGCCAATCCAGATACTTGGGTTCAAATTCCACCTCGGACACTTTTTCACACTCAAAACGGCAATGTATGTGTAGTGAGCAGTTGTCACCTGTAGAGTGTAGTATTGTGTTGGGCATCAGTGGAGAGAAGAGAGAAAAGGCAGTCCTGTGGTATAGATCCATGGTTTTCAGTGCATGGGCGTAACCCGCTATGACGTCACACACAGGTTAGAGCAGTGTCTCCCAAACTGGGGTCCGCGGCCCCCTGGTGGGCCGCGAGGGTACTGCAGGGGGGCCGCGGGAGGTCATAAAAAAAAATATATATATATATATATATAATTATTTAATGTTAAATTTATAATGTTTTGTTTGTAATATTAAAATATTTGTGTTCATTATTTGACTTGAATAATCCACTGTAATCATTTTTGTATTACAATGTTTGTAGCAGAGGCTATTTCCCCAAAATAAAATAACCAGAAGAGCCTATTCTTAATGTTGTCTTCTTGGTTATTATTTTGGGGGGCCACGCAGACCCGTCAGATTTTTAAGGGGGCCTCGGTGTTACTGAGTTTGGGAATGGCTGGGTTAGAGCATAGACAACTTAAATTCATGAAAAACACGTTATTTTTATAAAATATAGGATTTTTTTTGCCAGAATCTCTTTCAAATTGACATTGTCATGCAATTTTGATATCCACTATTTTTTTTTTTAAAACCCGTCATAAGGTCTTTAATGCAAGGGAAAATGTAGGTACCACAGCTTAAATTTAGCAAGTTTTAGTTTTGCTTTGGGAAGAGACACAGAGGAAGACATGGTCACTTACTGAGGCTCCATAGTCCAGCTCTGTTTCTTGCAGCGGTGTATTTATTTCATGCACAGGGTACGCAAAGACACACACTCTGCGCCGGGAACATTTTGACCACGTTACGGCTCCAAACTCGCCTTGTTGTCAGAGTGGCTCACAGCCGCTGGAGGCGGGAACCGCTGTCATTACAAAACGGCCACAGTTGCTCCGTGGTCAGAACGCTGCAGGAGAATGCAGAATCCGTTCAGCCAACATGTTCCCCGAGGTCACGCACAACCCTCGTGGCATTGCACCACTCAGAAAGACTGGTCTAAGTGAAGTACACGAGGGTGCTTACTAACTCAAGTGATGTTACGCATTTCTGATTTTTGGTACGCACCAGTTAAGTGCACCCCTCACTATAGTATCACAACTAGTTCCATACGTTTTATAACCTAGAACTTGATCGAAATGTCTTCCTTATTATTAATAATAATAATAAAAAATATTATGTTTATTTTGGACACCTAGAGATTTATAAGACAGGATAAAAACACTCAAGAGTTGTATCATACTTTTCTATTCTATTTTAGTGCATTCTTTTTGTGCTGAAATGGACTTTCAAATCCAGTCTTGTGTTATTCCTGGTATATTCCTTACTTTTGTTTGACAGCACAGCCCTGTCGACCATATTATGCTGAACAAGTTGTAAGCTTCTATGCTGCAGCGGCGGTCTGCACTTTGTACCTTTTTTCCCATCGTGTTTAAGCTTAGAAACACTTGTACTTCACAGAGCAAAGCTACAGGGACCTGCTAGCTGTTAGCCGTGAGTGTAGCTCTCACTCTGAAATTTAAATAGGCTTTTTAACCTTAAGCTCTCATCTATGCGCCCGGTGGGTTTGGCTCTCTGGAGGACTTTTAAACAGCCTACAAGAGTCGCTTATTCATTTGCTGCTGCAGAGAAGGCAGGTGAGAAATGACTCCAAGTTTGAGCGCTGTGGGGAAGTTACGAGGTCAAAGTCTAAAGCAATGAGCACCACCAGGAATAACTGTGGAAGCCTCTGTAAATACATACAATATATACACAAAAGAATGAATGGAGCTGTCACATACCGAGACTAAAGAGGCTTAACAGTGGAAATAATTAGTAAATAAGGACTAAAAGATTAAGCAGTTCTAAAGACAGGCCTCAATCCGTTCACAACCATTCAGAGTAAGGAATATTGGAGTATGCATTGATTTGCTGATTTGCTGATACATTAAATACGTCCCGTTTTTTTTCTTTTTTAGATTGTGTTCTTTCTCAACGCAGTCATACCATAAATGATTTCTCCTCTCCACAAATCTGATGTTTAGCCTGGCAATTTGTCTTTTTGGACCAGAGCTTCTTCACATGCTGCACATCTCAAAGGAATAACGCAATGCAAAAGCTGCAAAGAATATGTTCTGTACATGGAAAAAGTATGACCTACATTAAGTTGATAGGTATTTAGGATTCAGATTTCCCTCTAGTGAAAAGAAAAGGAAGACAAATAATAGTAAGTAAGTAATATTTATTTATATTTCGCATTTCAAAGACCAATGTCTCACAAAAACACGCAGTAATTCACAGTCAATCCACACTCAGTGATGACAGGAGCGAGAAGCCCCTGACCATCACAATCCATTTACTCTCATTACGTTCATTCCTATTGTGCATGGTTTTAGTGTTAGAGGAAACCGTAGTACCTGGAGGAAACCTCTGTAAACAAGAGACCAGCCACTGGAAGGCCTGGAGGTTGAATCAAACCCAGTGCTGGCCGCTGCCCACGGTGGCTATATTCTATACGACACGTTTTTTACAATTCTGCAAAGCTATCCATCCAGCCATCCATTTTCTTCCCCTTAATCCATTTCTGCGTCAGGGGGTGGCAGTCGGAGATGCTACCCAATTCACACAGCACCAGCCCCTCCCTGATCCTCCTGCAGGTGGTGAGTCCACAGGAGGACGCCTGCTCTGTCGGTGAGAGCATAGCCTTGATCTTTCAGCGGGGGGCTTCAGGCAAAGTGGGGTTAAGTGTCTTGCCCAAGGACACAATGACAGCAGACATCAGTGGAAGTCGGCTCAAAGCCCAATCCTGTACCAACCGTCGCCACTGTCTGCTAAACTAATGCGTGCTAATTCACATTTCAATCAATATCCCCAAATCACAGCAGCAGTCATCTCAGAACACTTTACAAAATTGTCCATTTGCCAACAATGGATTCAAGCGACACAGGAAATGGCATTGTCAGACACACATAAGAGCCAATGGTCCACTGCTAGCTGCTTGAGAGTACTGGCATGTAGCAGCTCTGTGTGTATTGTCTCGGTCTGTTGCACGGCGCTCCAGTGTGGGACAAGCGCGCTCCTGTTCCAGAGAGACGTGTGGTCCGTGTGCAGAGAGAGAGATGACCCACTCCTCTTTGATTACAGCCAACAGCCTCCTCTCCTCACGACTCCGAGGCAAATGAGCCCTAATGTACAGCGTGAAAAGGCCTGGACCGCTGCCAGCACATGCCTCCTAACCACAAGAATGAAGCGGACAAAAAAGAGCAGTTAAACGTTTTTGGCTTGTTCTGTTGATAACGGTTTCATCAAGAACACTAGAGCCAACGGGAGAATGAACACTGCA